TATCCAGACTGTGGTCTGAGGTGTCTTGGCAGATTTATCTCTTCTCACTGACATTGAGAGGTCTGATTAAGAATAATAATTGTTGTTACAGGCTTTTCATTAGGAGCTGGACAGTTAGAAAAAATCTCTAAGCTTAGCAAGCGAAAAGTGAAAGTAATTTCTAATTTATAAAAACAACACCGTCTTTAGAGAATTTAATTAACTCTACACATTTCCTATCTTTCCCTTAAAGGTTTTACACAAAAAGAACTAGTTATCTAGAACAATAAATGCATTTTAAAAGCTTTTTACCATCTAGACGGTACGGAGAATCAACTCCTAGCTGGTCACTCCCCCGAGCAGAAGTGACGTCTCGAGAGCCTCCTTCTCAAACTGGGAGGAGGTAAGAAGTGGGTTACGCCAGGGGATCTGTCCTGGGCTCTGTGCACTTCAAACTTTTTATTAATGATCAGGATCAGGAGGTGCTGGGAATTTTAATCACATCTGTAGATGGAATAGCTAATACTCTGGAAGACTGAAACCAAATGGAAAAATAATCTACTGTGTTTTCCTGAAAATAAGATAGGGTCTTATATTAATTTTGGCTTTAAAAAAGCATTAGGACTTATTTTCAGGGGATGCTTTATTTTTTTCAAGAACAACAGTCTACATTTATTCAATTACCGTTATTTATATTATTTATTTATTATTAATTCATTCCCATTCTCCTTCCCCTTCTTTAAATATACCTGGTGCCACCTCCTCCAGAGGGGCCTCCGCCGCTGCCAGGAGGCGCCACGGTGGTGGCTCAGGTTCCTCCGGTGGCGGTGCCTGGGCCGAGGCTCCCGTTGGGGCTGGCGGGCCCCGGGTTGGTTTTGCGGGAAGCAACAGCAGCAGTAAAGGGGGAGGCATCGATGCAGAAGGGGTTCACAAGCTGGCAAGCCCAGTTGAGGAAAGGACAGCAGCTGCTACAACACATGGCCCTGCCAGCAGCACCGAAGAGGGAGCCAAAGAAGGAGGGTTAAAAAAGTTATGACAGGAGAAAGAGGGGAGGGGGGGAGATAAAGGCAGGGCAAGGGCTACCTGGCTGGCAGGAGCCAGAAGGAAATTGACCCCCCTACCAACCTAGTACTTTATTGGCCTCACCTGGGCACACTCTGAGAGGGAACGTGCACACTGCAGAGGACAATCCCAAAGAGACATTGGGAACGAAGGAATCAAAGAGCAGCTCCTTCCTCCCTGGGTGCCCAGCCCTTCTGTGAGTGAGGAAAGGAGGAGAGGAGGGGAAGAAGTTTTGAGTCTCTCTCAAGGGCCCGGGAGGGGTTCCAGAGAGTCCCTGGTGGAGGGCGGGGTTTTACTTAACTGGGGCTTATTTTCAGGGTAGGGCTTATATTACAATAATCTTGAAAAATCATACTAGAGCTTATTTTCAGGGCAGGGCTTACTATCAGGGGAATATGGTAGCAGTTTCATTTGAGCAGTGGGTTTCCCCTTTGTATGAGATCTTGGATGAATAGAAAGATGGCTGCTTTTCTTAAAGGTCCTTCTACATCCCATGCATTTCCATCACCTCTCCCTGTATGATGTCTTTGATATCTACAAACTTCGTTAGGATACCTGCCTCCACAGGAATCCTACGGAAATTTACAGACCTCCCAGGCAAGGAGGAGATTCTATGATTCATCAGTGCTGATATGATTGCAGAAAAAGGGTGATTTCCACAATGAAACCAGACTGTGGGGGGTTGGTATTCTCAGACGTCTGGAGATGTGTGGTTTCCCTTGTGGGTTCCAAAAAAGACAACTGACCCACCAGGGTCCTGCCAAAAGCCATCTCCAAGGAGCTGGTCCATCTCTCCCTTTCTCTCTTTCGCTAGCTTGCCTCTCTCTTCCCTCATCTTTCTGCCCCACTCATTTCTCTTTCTCTCCCCAATAGGAGGGTTTCTCAGGTCTTACTTCTACTTTCTGCTTCTTCATGAGGGATCATCAATTTTTCCCACTGTTTGGTCTAGGGATTCTCCATTTATATCCACTTCCAGCCTTCAAATAATATCCTCTCCTTTTGCCCTCCTGTGTCTCCAGCTTCTGCTGTCCCTTCTTGATTTATCCTCCCAATATATTTCTCTACCCTCTTCGTCTTATTCTTTTTCCTCCTTCACCTCCACCGCTCCTAATGTTGATCCTCCCTTCCCGACTCAAAATTCCATCTTAGACACCCCTGGCTCTTTGTTTCTCGATCTCCCATCCCTTCACTGCTCTGAAACTTTCATTCTTCACCCAGACGTATCTCTATCTTCCTGGTTTTCTTCTCATCTCATATCCCTCATTCCGTTCTCCCCACGAATCTGTTGCTTCTCTGATGGGTCATATGTTCTTTCTCTGGGGCTTTATGAGCTTCTCCATCCTCTCCTCAGGAAAGGATGGCACTCCAGTTGGGATGAGTTCATCCTGACCTTCTCGCTCACAAAGAAAATCCGTGACAAGGTGTTAGAAGCTCATCTGGGTATCTCATAAGGAGTCTTTCCATGGTTGCAATGATTCCAGGCAATTCCAAACTTGTTAAATCTGTACAAGTTCTTTTATTTACATCATTTCTAGGTTCCATACTTAAATATACTAAATCCAAAAAAACTATAGATACAGATCTTCAAATCCAAAATCCTCCAATTATGTAAAAACTGTAGGCTTAAAATACGTCCTTGCACCTTGTAAAAAGATGCAGCTATTTAAAATTAGGTTATAGACATATTTTAAGACGTTTGAATCATGAATACAAACACATTGAAACACCAGAGCTCATAATCTAGAAAGACAGAGAATACATCTTCAGAACACTTCAACGTTTCTAGGAATACAATGATAAAGAGCAAAAAAAACCTTACAATTTTCAATGAAGACATGCAAAAGTATTTAAACTATAAAAATAAATATATACAAAGTCAAAAGCATGATTTCGTTCTAAGCGGGTTGTTAACACACAGAACATGTTCTTCTCACCCAGCCCTATGTAAAATCCATTGCTGGCTGTCACTGCCACAC